GCAAATGACATACCAGACTTCATTCTTCTTACTGAGATTATTCCCAAGGCCCAGGTGCACCCCATCCCCCTCGCCACCCTCAACATCCCTGGGTATAATCTGTACCTTAACTTCGACCCTGCGGCTAACAACCTGGGCAGTTGTGGACAAAGAGGAGTTGGTATTTTCACCAAATTACCAATCAAAGCTACTCTGGCAGCATTCCCAACATCCCCACAAGTGGAGCAAGTCTGGCTGCAAGTTCCACTCCAACCTCCTGAGCAGCTTCTTGTGGGGTGCGTTTACCGGAGCCCTGGCGCCCATGGACCATTATCAACCAAGCATCTAGTAGAGCTCTTCAACCTCTGCTCATCAAGCAAGAACACACAAATTGTGATTGCGGGGGACATGAACTTTCCCCAGATTGACTGGGTCAACAGCTTCTCGAATGCTCCAGATGGCCACTACACACACCACTTTATCGAAGGCATACAGGAATGCGGTCTCATCCAGCACGTGACTGAGAAGACGCGGTACAGAGACGGGGTGCTGCCTAGTGCTGTCGACATCATTCTGAGCAATGAAGAGGGGCTTGTCCAAAACCTCACTTACCATCCTCCCATAGGCAACAGCGACCACGTGGTACTTCGATTCGACATGATTGGCTACGAACAGATTACTGACCCAACTACGCCCCGCCTCAACTACCACAAGGGTAACTACGCCCTCCTGAATGAACACATTAGGAACACGGTGTGGGACAGACCTGTTCCTCCTGACCCTCACCAACGTTACGAGTCCTTCAAGAAGACACTGACCCGCTTGACTGGGTCATGCATACCAAAATCGTGCCCAGCTAGCTAACGGCGGAGCATCTACATGAACAGGGAAGCGATGCGCCTGAAAAAGAAGAAGCGGGAGCTCTGGACCACCTACACCAAGTCGCTTGACGTCCTTCACCTTGCTCGCTACAAACGCTGCAACAACGACCTGAGGCGACTCACCCGAAACCTTAGAACGGAGCTGGAACTCAAGCTGGCATTGGACATCAAGTCCAATCCCAAAGGATTCTGGCGGTACGCTTCCTCGCGCACTAAGACAAGGACTGGCGTTGAGAATCTCCGCACAGGAGCAGGCGAATTGACGGCCAACGACGACGAGAAGGCACAAGTGCTCAATACATACTTCAGCTCAGTCTGCACGGACGATGACCTTCGCCCCATCTCCACCGCACACGACGGCACCTACAGGGGACCAGAAATCGAGGATGTTGTCGTCACCGCTGACCTAGTGAGACTGAAGCTGCTCCACTGGCGGATCCAGGCTTGCGTTTTGGGGGGGGCCAACTCATGCGGAGCCAAACCTAGGGTACCCCCAAATCCTGTTTTCTCATCGGATTTAGGCCACTTATTTTTCGTCACAGCTCTGCCACTATTAATTTTTTTTTTAACTAAAAAGAAAAATATATAAATCGTAGTCCACCCGACCCATGCCTTTATATTACTTTGTGAACACTTACCATTGCTTTTGTCGAGCAGTTAACCCGCTTCGAGTCAGTTCTTGGGTCCCTTTGCGGGCCGGGAGGTGGTAAAACACCCCCAGTCTAACTCGGCTGCTGGGCCACGCACTGATTGAACTATGTTTTATTATCGTTTGGGGGAGGGGCAAACGGGCCACTTTAGGCCTCTGGGAAAGGGGCATGGCCCTAAATGCCCCCTCCCTGGATCCGCCAGTGTAAGACACCATTGGAGCTGCAGTTGGGTACCTCAGACGTCAGGGTACGCCCTCAGATGCATAGGACTTGCGTGGAGACCTCTTATGCTGTATTGGACTGAAAGGACCCAAAGGAGCCCGTCTAGGGCTCCCGGAGAATGGAGATAGACGTGGGCACTCAGGAGCCCGCCAGAGCCCCCAATGAGGGATAAGTGAGGGATACCAAGTGCCTGCAATTGCATATTGCATAAGCCATAACGCCTTTACAAATCAATATATTATGTATCAGTGGCAGATACAAGGGGGGCCACATGGGTCATGACCCCCCTTGGTGCCCGGGGGCACCACCGGCCAAGCAGGGGCACCACCGGCCTAGCAGGAGCACCACCAGCCCGCCAGGGGCACCACAGGCCTAGCAAGGGCACCACGGGCCTGTGACGGGTCCCACAGGCTTGTCAGGGACACCCCAGGTCTGTCAGGGACACCAGAGACCTGCCAGGGGCACCACAGGCCTGCCAGGGGCACCACCGGTCTAGCCTTTACAAATCAATATATTATGTATCAGTGGCAGATCCAAGGGGGGCCACATGGGTCATGACTCATGACCCCCCGTGGTGCCCGGGTGGTGCCTGTCAGGGGCACCACCGGCCTAGCAGGGGCACCACCAGCCCGCCAGGGGCACCACAGGCCTAGCAAGGGCACCACGGGCCTGTGAGGGGCCCACAGGCTTGTCAGGGGCATCCCAGGTCTGTCAGGGACACCAGAGACCTGCCAGGGGCACCACCGGCCTCGCAGGGGCACCATGGTCCTGTCAGGGGCCCTGCCGGCCTCGCAGGCATCACGGCATCACGCAGGGGCACCTTGGGCCTGTCGGGGACATCACGGGCCTGTTGGGGGCGCTTTAGGCTTGTCAGGGGCACCGCAGTCCTGTCAGGTCCCAGGGGCATCAGCAGCCTAGCAGGGGCACCCTAGGCCCGCCAGAGCCACCACAGGCCTGCCAGGGTCCAGGGGCACCACAGGCCTAGCAAGGGCACCATGGACCTGTCAGGGGCACCTCAGGCTCCCGTGCCCCCCCCCCCCTGGATCGGCCAGTGATGCCACACCACGCGAAACACCGCCAACTACCAGCTGCCGCGCCATAAACACGTGCCAACAACAGTCTTTTTTTAAGGTCGACTCCTCTCGCGCAACTTTTGACTGACCCTCACTGCTACCATATTGCTTCCATATTATGCTGCGGAAAGCTTTACTTCACCAAGTGGCTAAAAACCTCCATCAAGGTATATTTTCTTAGCATTTTTTCGGACGTTTTGGGGGGGGCCAAACCGGCCACTTTAGGCCTTTGGGGGGGGCCATGGCCCCCGTGGCCCCCCCCTGGATCCGCCAGTGCAAGCAGCTAAAGACGTCATCTGCGGCCGGGCCAGATGGTCTTCACCCTCGCGTCCTCCACGAGATCAGGGACTCGGTATCCAGCGAGCTTGCATCAATCTACAGGGAAACACTCGACACTGGAGTCCTACCAGAGGATTGGTCCCTGGCCGATGTAATCCCTATCTACAAGAAGGGCAGCAAGGACAATCCGAACAACTACAGACCCGTCAGTCTGACGTCGATACCGTGCAAAGTCATCGAATCGATCATCAGAGACGAGATCACGGACCACCTCAAAACCGAAGACCTCATCTCCGACGCCCAGCACGGGTTCCGCCCGGGCAGATCGTGCGCCACGCAGCTGCTGATCGCCATTGAGGAATGGAGCAGGTTGATCGAACGCGGCCATCCCATTGACGTCCTCTATCTTGACCTCGCCAAGGCGTTTAACACTGTCTCGACACGGAGGCTTCTCCATAAGGTGGCAGCGCACGGAATCAGAGGGAAGCTGCTCCGATGGATCGAGGCATTCTTGGTGGGAAGGAAGCAGCGAGTGATTGTCGGCAACTCCCGTTCGGCTTGGATCCCCGTGCCGAGCGGAGTCCCGCAAGGTTCGGTGTTGGCCCCAACGCTGTTCCTGCTCTATGTCAACGACCTGCCTAGCGTCCTGAACTGCAATGTCAAAATTTTCGCTGACGACAGCAAACTCTACCAGGCCGTCCGAAATCCAGAGGATGCACTCTCCCTACAGTCCGACCTCGACGCCGCTACAAGGTGGAGTACGGATTGGCAGCTAAGTTTCAACGCTGACAAATGTAAGATCCTGCACATCGGCCGTCAGGCACTCAACCATGACTACTACATGAGTGGAACAGCGCTACAGGCGGTGACAGAGGAGAGAGATCTGGGAGTGATCGTCGACTCGGACCTGAAGTTCAGGCAGCAGGCAGCAGCGGCCGTCAGCAAGGCTTCGCGAATCATGGCGGTGATTCGTCGATCCTTCTGCCTGCTGGACCAGAAGACCCTGCCACTGCTCTTCAAGACGCTGGTGCGCCCACATCTCGAATATGGTAATATCGTCTGGGGCCCCTTCAACCGGACAGATCAGCTTCGTGTCGAGCGTGTCCAACGCAGGGCTACGAGGCTGGTTCGAGACATCCGCCACCTGCCATACGAAGCAAGGTTGAAGTCCCTGAAGCTGCCCTCGCTGCGATACCGACGTCGACGTGGGGACATGATCGCTGTCTTTCAACTGATACACGGGAAGCTGGATCTGAAGCCAGAAGAGTTCTTCGACAGAACACATGCCAGGGAAACCAGAGGACACCCGTGGCGCCTGGCCAAACCCCGAGCAACTTCACGCGTCCGTCGAAACGCCTTCTCAACGAGAGTCATCAACGACTGGAATGGACTACCGCTGGCAGTCGTGAGCGCCGACTCTCTCAACCAGTTCAAGAATCGTCTCGACAAGCACTGGGCCCATCTCCTATACACACCACCTACGTCCTATGAGCCCTAACATGATCCGTCTAGAAGCTCGACTGGACCGGTAGTTTACAGGCCTTTGGCCTCTCTAAATTCCGTTCAACTTAAGTAAGTAAGTAAGTAAGTAAGTAAGTAAGTCAAAACTAAGATAAACCAACCACAAAACAATGAAAATTAACGCTTACCGTCTTTTCGTCTTTCCTCAATGATCAGACGACAGACCGAGAAAAAATGTTTTTAAAAACTCTGTAACTTTTGTCTTCAACAAATCAGAGAACGAGAAGCCGAACAGCTATCGATCCTAGGTTGTTCCTCAATTTTGTCTGCTTTTTAGGCCCTCGAATCAACCGCTAGGTGTCGCCACTTTTCATACGCAACCTTGATTAGTTTGCTTGTTTGTTGCTGAACGCCGGTCTGTATGTATTATGTATTGTGTGTTGACTGTTGTGTTTGTGTGTATGTTGGGCAAACTAGACCTTTGGAATCAAAATATGGAGGCATCAAAAGATTGATTCCTTATGACCATATTTGGGCATAAATGCAGACCATTTCTAACTTACCAAACACTTAAAAATAAGAGAGTGTTTCAAGAAGGAGCATGCCTGATCTTGAACAGAAATGCTGGAAGTATCTCCTAAGCAAAATAATATTGCTCCTATCACAACAATTTGAATTCTATAGGTAGTGAAAGGAAATCAAGGAATTGATTCACTTTAAACAGATAATCATAATATTGATTCCCCGTCAGCTGGCTAATCATTATTTTGATTCACAGGTAATGTTAACAGATAGGCAACAATGACTTGCAAGAATACAGCATTTATCTTGCTATTATTCTCATTTAGTGGTATCCTCAGCACCACAACAGATACCTATAGCATTGTTGCACTTTACCTTCACTACATTTGATAACAATTCACAATTTTGAAATGTCAAGAATGCAAAAACTAAAGCAACAGGTAAAAACCATATAATAAATGTAAAAGCACTACAACAATGATAATAAGAGGTTTGAAAATTTCATTTTGCCATTTTACACAAATACTGATTGTTTAGTATGTGATTCATGATACAAAAATAACATACAGTGTGATTTCCTCAAAACAGCTTTTACGTGATGGACAGTGCCTCTGTCTTTTTCCCATTCACAAGGCCAAAGGGACAATTTCTTAGTTTTGAGGTAACACTTTTTGCAAACCTACCACATTTTTCTACCTTTTTAAAGAAAAATCTCACCGTCATGGGCCTTTTTTCAACCGTAACGATACATTTGAAGTCAAAAGTGTACCCAAATGAATCAAAAAATTGATTCCATGCCCATATTTGGTCATGGCTCCTCCCACCAGAATCAAATTATTGATGCCTCCATATTTTGATTCCAAAAGTCTAGTTTGCCCAACTGGTATTGATGTCCTGTCCTCAGTCCTAGAGTATATAAGTTGAATTGAGAAGGTATGTACCAAGGCTATGTAAACCGCATGTACCGTTTAGTTTAATAGTATTTGCTCAGCAAAACGTCACACGATCATAATAAGACAAAGTCAAAGTTGTAGCTTGAGCTCCAGAAAAATCCACAGCAATGAAACATTTTAATTAAGTCTCAATACAAATTTTTGTTTCAATTTGCATAGATACCTACCTGCCTACCCACTTAACAATTTGCTTATCTTGTACACAAGTTGTAATAGGATGTTTTAAATCACTTGCTGTGAATCTTGTGGACAATGATGGTTCCAGAAATGTGGTACCTTGACCTATTGTGTCGGAAGTTGTGAGGGATAGGCACCACACGAATACTCGGGCCGTACTATTTTCTGGACGATTTGCCAGCTGGCGATGTATGGTGGAGCTAGCAGAGCTTGTTATATATCAATGCCAGATACCAATAACTTAATATCTCAATCTATATTTTAATTTTTCTATGAGTGTCATTTTACGTGTTTGTGTTCAAGTTCATCTTCTACCGTGTTTATATCAATAAATAACAAAGCTATTGTACATCACCAGCTGGCCAGCCAGCCGATTTTATCCAGTTGTTAGCAAGGCCTCAATACCCCCACTTGAACAAATTTGATTACTTGAAGCTGGGCTCCAGGTAGGTTCAGACCCTTATGGGGATATTACTGATTTCAACCATGAGAAATAAGTATCAATTAATAAAATCAGTTGGGCTAACTAGGCTTGTTCAATCTAAAAGTGGACACATCATTAATTTGATTCTGATTCTGATGGGTGGGGTACTGACTACTGACCATGTATGGACATGTAATCAATTTATTTATGTAGTTTAGTGTGCTCTTGCCTTCAAATCATTATAATGACTGCACAAAAAAATGTTATGGCTTGCGAGCCAGCATCCAATAATTTTCAAAATCAAGTGAGCATTGTACAGGTCTCGCGAGATTAAGCGGTAGGTTTTGCACTTTTACATTTCCGGTTATATCTCAGAAACTAATCGATCTACGATGAAGCCATTTTACACGATCATGGCCGGCTTGTTACCCAACAAGTCGATCGCATCTTCAACACTTAAAAGCTTAAGACGACGAAGATATAGCCTGAAGTACACTAAATTTTCTAGGTGCAAAACCTACCGCTAAAACCCGCGAGACCTGTACATATTGGCCTTGGTGAACGACAAAATAGGGAGTCAATTTTAAAAATGTAAAAGCTGCTTTAAGAAACTCATCCTGTATCATTCTTGTATCAATTCATAAATCACATATTTTAGTTTTTTATTAGTCAGCAAAATGAAATTGCTTTAGCCTTGAGTTGTACCATTGTAATGCATTATTGGTTGTTAGTTGGTCGTCAGAAGTGGGGTTCCTCAAGGCTCAGTTCTGGGGCCCCTCTTGTTTCTGTTTGTGGATGATATTCCTTCTGTGGTCGACTGCTCTGTGAAGATGTTCGCTGGCGACACGAAGCTCTACCGAAACGTATCCAAGCGGCATGACAGAGACTCCCATTCAGAAGACGCTGAGGTTGTGGGGCTGGCTGTCGCTCAACAAAGAGCTGGCAGAGACCACTCCACTGAACACACCCAGCTGTCGATTGAAGAACAGCGTCGGAACACTAGTGGTGCCCTACCTGAGGTTGACGAGGAGGGAGAGGTGGCTGTCTCTCACTTCAGAGATGTCAGATACCACTCTGCCCGACCATCGTCCCCACAGCAGGTGCGAGACACAACGGCAGCGACAACTCTTCAAGGCGACATTGATGCCCTAGTGACATGGTCTGACCGGTGGCAACTCCCATTCAACGAAGGCAAGTGCAAGATCCTGCACCTGGGGAATAACAATCCCCGGATCAAGTACAGGGTGTCTCAAAAGTTCGCTTACACATTTCCCATGTCAATAAAGCATATAAGAACCGGCCAAAAATCTAAAGTTTTGGTGTCCGTGTGTACACTAGACAAATATGCATGCTTTGACAACTGATTCGGAAGGTTGGAAACCAAACCCTTTGCTGTATCTCCAAAAATATTTGCTCATACCGATATTCGTCACTCCGTCAGCTGCCGGAGGCTGATAAAAGGTTACCAGATTTCAAGCTCTTGTAGGGGAATCCGCTGCAGTTTCTGCGTCGGATTTAGGTTTGACGAGCTCCCCGGCAACATCCGCTTCTCCCTGAAAGCCGACAGCTTGCATCGACACCATCCGTGAGTATTTTGTAGGTCTTCTCTGGCGCTAACTCCTTCATGAATGACTGGCGCCGACTTCCCAAGCACCATTTTTCTTTTCAAAACAACCCCATTCCTGAACAAATGGGAAGTACCAGGGGCCAATTTTTCGCAGCATATCGTAGCAGAATGTGTCGGCCATCTGTTTCTTAGACACATTTTGCAAATTTTGCAAATCCCGAACGCTCGTAATTCCCAACGCCAAGACCTTCGCTGGGTTCCGGAGTGTTTTCCTCAGGAGAGGTTCTGCTTTGTAAACGGCCAAAACCTGTCCATCGTGCGGTTTTGTCCGGATTTTGTGTGTAAAAGAAAGCTATTTGCTCCAGATCTGCCTCTTGAAACTTCGTTAGATAAAACTTTACATTAATTGACACTTTTGGAGGGTCACTTGTCCTCAGCATTGACGATTTTCGCATTATTTTCCCTCAAAATTTAGCGTTATAGATATTATAAACAATTTTAAATGATATTTTGTCTTTATTTTATGATGACCTGCAATTTTTGAAACTGGGTAACCTCTGTCTGTGAGCTTCTAGTCAGTTTTCAATAGTTAGGACTGCATTTTCAGCTGCTTTCCGGAGCACGAGTCTGCTGCGGTACAAGGGTCGTTCAAAGCGCTGTTAGTCTCGCATGGCTTTGTCCTTCAAAAAATTTAGCCACCGTTTTTATTAGATGACCAACATGTTGTACTCATCCTCGCCGACACTTTGCCATGTGTCATTTCCGACCTAACCATTCCCATTACTCGTGAAGCAGAGTTTCTCAGCCGACCCGAGTATGCGACCTCCATTTTCATGCCTGATCCATGGTCAGAGGTGAACCCTTTTTGTGAGCTCATGAAGGGTCGAATGCGCTTGAAAACGATGAAGCTGCTTGAGGAAGGTTGTTACCAATGCCCATGCAAAATTTCGACTGTTAATTTCTTGTTGATTCAGAATTATTGACAAAAAAGCATGGCTGGTACCTGTAAGCGAACTTTTGAGACACCCTGTACACCATGCGAGAAGTCGACCTAGAGGCGGTGGAAACAGAGCACGACCTCGGTGTCCATATCGACTCCTTGCTAAAGTTTCGCAAACAAGCCACCACTGCTGCTGCGAAGGCCAATCAGATCTTGGCAGTCATCAGGCGCTCCTTCGAACTTATCGACGAATTCACACTCCCACTGCTATACAAGACTCTGGTGCGCCCACATTTAGAGTACGGAAACTTGGCATGGGGCCCGTTCAATCGGGCCAACCAACTCCTGATTGAAAAAGTCCAAAGGAGAGCAACACGCCTGGTAGCTTCCATCAGACACCTCCCCTACGAAGAACGTCTACGAGTGCTAAAGCTGCCTTCATTGTTCTACCGCCGACGACGAGGTGACATGATCCAAATGTATCAGCTGTTTCATGGAGGGGTCGACCTGTCTCCTGAGGATTTCTTTGCGGCTGCCACTGACAATCGTACCCGAGGCCACTCGATGAAAGTCCAGAAGCCCAGAGCGGAAACCAGGCCAAGAAGACAGTCGTTTAGCGTGAGGGTCGTCAATGACTGGAACAGTTTACCCCCAACGGTCGTCGGCGCTGCCTCAGTCGATCAATTCAAATCAAGACTGGACGCCCACTGGGCAAACATCAGGTAGGTCTGATACCTGATAGGAGTTAGAAAGGTCCCACCTGATACGAGCTCGATGAGAGCGGTTCCCTACAGGCCAAGTGGCCTCAAAATTCCGATCATATTAAGGTAAGGTAAGGTATTATTATTTATTTTAGGTTTTCCTAACCCTTTTTCGGATCTTGACAATGTGAAATTATTAATTTTGATCAAATGTCATGAAGGCAGTATACAACCAGGCCTAGTGCTGAGGATGCCACTTTTTGAGAATGATAGCAAGATTGATGGTAAATTCTTGCAAGTCATGATTGCATCCATATTCAGTATGCACTCTATTTGTGAATAAAAATAGCCAGCTACTTGTGGTCTGTAGAATCAATATTTTGATTCTCCTTTACCAGTCAGTCAAGTTTTTGATTGCCTATTTTTGTTTATAAATCAGAGTATGATTTTAAAAGCAAGAATTTTGTGTTCAGTAGACAGCTTAAATATTTTTATGCAATATTAAGATCATTCCCGGCGTCAAAATAACGGTTTCCATATTTCCCCATTGACTAATGGTGAGGTCACGTGACCGACCTGACCTCATCTAACCTTTAAGAAATATCCGAGATAGGTATTTATGTTGTAAGACCTCTGTAGGATATTAATTAGCCTCTGCCGTCAGGTCAATAACCGTTTAACCCGCGCCCTGCTGGGGGGGGGGGGGGGTGATTGAACATCCCCCCTTGTGGTTTTTCGCGAATATCTCAAAAACGGTGGCGCGGAGCGCCGCCGTTTTTGGTACACCTTATCATACATCAATTCTACACATGTTGTGAAAATTTCAGACCAAGATCATTCAAGGTCAGGTCACCAGGTCACTTGAAGTGACCTCACCTCATAAAAAGTTTCAATGTCTGCTATAGCTACACCGAGTGACCGATCGCTTTGAAACTTTCAGAGATTGATAAGGGTAACAGTATCTATAAAATATATATCACGGAATTTTGATATCGGTGACCTTAGGTCAGGTCAATTTTGCGACCTCTCCATTATAAGTCAATGGGAGAAAATTGAAATGCGCCTCTTTTGGACGAAAGACATTATAAACACTCCCAAACACTGAATTACAAGTGGTATAGACACACTTGACATTAAAATGGTGTCCGTGACCCCTGTTTATGCCCTGAGGTCATCTTAGGTCACGAATGGTATCTAACAGTTTTTCGCAAATAACTTTTGTTAGAGGCATGCAAGAGCGATGAAAACGCCTTAGATGTGTTCAGCTCGACGATACGGATCGACTGATATGCAACATGACCCTTTCCGGTCAGGTCATGACCTTGACCTGAGGTCAAATTTTCAAGTTGACCTTTCAAGGTCAAGTTATAGTTCATTCGATGCGTCTTGACGAGAGGAACACGATGCCGGTAAAAGTAAGCTCGTACAAGGCTTGGGTCAAAAGTTATTGCAGAAAACTGTTTCCGAAAAACGGCTATTTTGGTGTATATACTCTGGCTATTTTTGCAGTTTTTGCCCCCTGAAACCAAAACCTTTGACGTTAGGTCAAATCTGAGAGAATTACTCAGAAAGGGCGTTAATAAGGCTATCGAATGCGCTTTTCTGTGGCGCTGTAGCTTTATTGGTTCCCGAGTTATGCGTTGGCTTCCTGGAAATTGTCGCCATTCGACCTAAAAATCGGCGAAATTTTGCCTTCAATGACCTCTGGTGACCTGACCTTTGACCTGACCAAAAAATCGACTGAAGTGATTTCGTCATTATTTTTTACGCTCTTTCGAGCGCCGCCTTCCGCGTATCGCTACGTGGCCCAGGAGCCGAGTTACAAGGGGGTGTTCAAACACCCCCCCCCCCCAGCAGGGCGTGGAAATCCATGACCCCCAGCCGGGCGCGGGTTAAGAAACAAATTTCTCAGAAATTTCGTACTTGTCCTATGCCGGCTGTAACACCTTCGTCTTTGAAAGGATATGCGTTTTGACACACTGTTGTAGGCTTTCACTCTCTGTCGGTAAATGTGTTGTGCATGCTAGATAAATTGAATATTTTTTCCTCACATTTAAGCAAGTGGATTAAGAGGCTTGCATTTCTCGGGCATATTGTGCACTTTAATCGGTAGGCACTAAAACGGTCAGACCGTAGGCATGATGATAGCGCGTTTGCTGTGACCCAGTTAGATAATGACACGTGGTGACTACTGCACTTTCATCACTGCTCTCTGAACACTTCAGGTTTATCATTGGGTGTTGCAACATGCATTGGTCTTATCCTAGCACCATGTGGAAAGTAACACGCACTGGCGGTATTTTTCCGTGCTCACAGCTCGTGAGACTTAACCCGCGCCCCGCTGGGGGGGGGGATGAATCTGCAGGAATCGAGACTTAATAAAAAGAATATACGAGATTTCACTTCGTCTTTTAAATGGCTACCTCGTTGATCTGACCTTGACCGGGCCTGTGACGTTCTTAGGCGACAAAATTTGCTCTTTGGGTCCGTCTTGTAGAATGCTTTCGATTGCCGTTTTCCTTGTCTTTCTACGACCAATCGTTCGAAAATGTAACAGGGGGCAGAATCTCCTCCCTCTCCCCCCCCCCTCCCAGCGGGGCGCGTAAGGGTGACAAATGATTAAGGTACCTATTTGTGGTTACTATTGGTGGTAAGTTTTCTCATTGTTTTTATTATTGGGCAGACGGCATCATTAAGATCGGAACAAATTTAAGAACGAGGAAGCTTCACGGTGTATGTATGCGAGCCAATAGCGATGTATTGGGGATGCGTGCCACGTTAAAATCTTAACCGTTCCATGCCTAAGTGGAACAAAAACGAAACATCAGACCATTTATCGCTGTTTTTTACATTAGGAGATATTTTCAAATGTGACATAGCTTCTCAGCATTCTTCTTTCAATACGCATAGCAAAATGTAGAATGATCGAAGCAGGCTGCCAACACTCAACAGTGTCCCAGCACCCACAGTATCGTGCAACTCCGCCCATGACGCGGTTTACGCAACACGGATCAATAACCACTTCTCTGCAGGGACAGTCAGCTGGCTAGTGTTGCGCAATCAGACGCCACTGCAATCTCGTTGTCCATTACATTGGACGTCACGGGAATCGTTAGCATAAACCCAGGCCCCAGGGAAGGGTCGAACTGACTGCGCTGTGCATTAGACCCGGCCCAAACTGGTTTCTCACGCCACCGTCCTCGTTAACGGCTCATTGATTTTTAAAACGACTGCGTAGACTAACCGTTCCTTACGTTTCGTGTCCGCAGACAACACGAGCAAGCGGGCGACGCTGCGCGCTGCGTTTCTGGCTCCAGACTGGGCGGCTGCTGGTCCAGCATGTCCACCCTGCTTCGTGTCACCTCCGCCGGCTGCGGCGTCCTGGCCGTGGGCGTGCTGGCAGCGCGCAAGTCGCGCCGCCGGCCGCCGCCGGCCCCTGCCACTGACGTCCAGCGCCGGTTCCACGGCCCGTTGCCCACCCGCGCCGAGCAGCTGGAGCGCCTGCGCAGCGAGCAGTTTGACGTGCTGGTGGTGGGCGGCGGCGCGACCGGCGCCGGCTGTGCCCTGGATGCCGCCAGTCGCGGCCTCAGCACCGCCATGATCGAGATGGACGACTTCGGCTCGGGCACGTCCAGCAGAAGCACCAAGCTGCTGCACGGAGGTGTGCGCTACCTACAGAAGGCCATCATGAACCTGGACCTGGAGCAGTATAGGATGGTGCGGGAGGCGCTCAACGAGCGTGCCAACCTGCTGGAGATCGCGCCGCATCTGTCCTACCCGCTGCCGATCATGCTGCCCGTCTACAAGTGGTGGCAGCTGCCATACTTTTACGCCGGAATCAAAATGTACGATATCGTGGCCGGCTCCAAATGTCTCAAGTCGTCCTACATTCTCAGCAAGCGCAGTGCGCTGGAGCTGTTCCCGATGCTGAAGACGGATGCCCTAGTGGGAGCGATCGTGTACTATGACGGACAGCACAACGACGCCAGAATGAACACCGCCATCGCCATCACCGCCGTGCGGCTTGGAGCGAGTGTCGCCAACCACTGTCGCGCGGTGGAGCTGCTGAAGGAACCCGGGGAGAAGGGAGGGGAGCCGCGAGTGTGCGGCGCCATCTGCGAGGATGTACTGACCGGGGAGCGGTTCTCGGTCCGAGCGCGGTGTGTCATCAACGCCACGGGACCGTTCACTGATTCCCTGCGCCAGATGGATGACCCCAAGTTGAAGGAGATCTGTGCGCCGTCGGCAGGCGTGCATGTGGTCCTTCCCGGATATTACAGTCCCGACTCGATGGGTCTGCTTGACCCGTCGACCTCCGACGGCAGGGTCATCTTCTTCCTGCCTTGGATGAAGCACACCATCGCCGGCACCACCGACTCGCCGTGCGAGGTGACGCCCAACCCGACGCCCAGCGAGGAGGACATCGCCTTCATCCTCGGCGAGGTACGCAACTACCTGAGCCCCGAGATCGAGGTACGTCGTGGCGACGTGCTGTCTGCGTGGAGCGGCATTCGACCGCTGGTCTCGGACCCCAACCAGCCCGACACGCAGAGTATCGCGCGAAACCACATCGTTCACGTGTCGCCCTCAGGTCTGGTCACCATCGCCGGCGGCAAGTGGACTACGTACCGCTCCATGGCTGAGGAGACCATCGACACCGCAGTCCGCGCCACCGGCCTGAAGCCCAGCTCTGGCTGTCGCACCCAGGGCCTCCTCTTGGAGGGCGCTCACGACTGGACGCCCAACATGTACATCCGACTTGTCCAGGACATGGGCTTCGACCCGGAGGTGGCCAAACACTTGGCGGATACCTACGGAGACCGTGCCTTCGCCGTGGCGAAACTGGCGGCGCTAACTGGAAAGGCGTTCCCGACGGTGGGTAAGCGACTTGAGGAGGAGTTCCCTTACCTGGAAGCGGAGGTGCGCTACGCTGTGAAGGAGTACGCCGCCACCGCAGTGGACGTGATCGGACGTCGCCTGCGGCTGGCGTTCCTCAACAATGTCGTCGCAGAGCAGGTGCTACCTCGCGTAGTTGAAATTATGTCCGAGGAGCTCGGCTGGAACGCTGCGGAGAAACAGCGTCAACACGAGCAAGCGTTGACGTTCCTGCGTACAGAGATGGGTCAGATGGTGAACCAGGAGTCGCGCCTGCAGGTGCCCATTAGCCTGACCGTTCGAGAAGTACAGGCGTACACCCGCCGCTTCCAGGAGCTCGACCGCGAGAAGAAGGGCTTCATCACCGTGAACGACTTGCGCCAGGAGTTGGAGGACATGCCCGGAGCTCACATTCACAACATGCTCTCCGAGGCGGACCCGGCGCACCACGGCTGCGTCGACCTGGCTACCTACATGCAGATTATGGCGGGGCTGAAGAGAGGCACTCCTCGTGGCACCCGCGCACGTCAGAAGGATGCCGGGAGCGACAACGTTCGGATCCCCGTGGAAAGAAGCGGTGGTGGCGTGTGACCAAGATGCCAGTGAGACCAAGTCTGCAGAGCTGACACTTTGCGATGAGTGAATGACGCGGGTGGAAATTGAGTAACTGAAAAGATGCCGGATATGATAAGTAACTAGATCTGTTGAAATGCAAATTATTAATATGCTTCAGTGAAGCAATCATTGAGGCTTAAAGCAATCGTGCAATTGAAGTTCTTTGCGGGAATGAAATACTTCATATAAAATAACAATTGTGATATTTTACTTTTTATTGCAGTGAATGAAACTAAAAATATTTGTATTCGCGTGGGCACATAAAAAGCAGGAATAGTGGAAGCATGTCGGACAAGCTACTTGTGTTACAAATGGAAAGGGTAACTGAATTGCGCGGTTGATGTATGGTTGACTAGTGTTTACATGTTCCCGAAATGACATTAGCAATGCTTGGTGGTAATGCTGCTAAGTGCACTGATCCAACACGTTTCTGCAACGACCTGTGGTGATATAGGATCACCCTCTGCCAGAGTTGGATGTAGAAAGCAAATCAAAACTACTAGTTACTGACGAAGTGGTGCGGGGCCCCGGGGGTCGTGGTAGTCCCCCGTTCACCTTCACTTACCGACTGCGGAGGTCACACTCGAGGGCCACGGCCCACTGACTATCTGGGCCGTGTTGACCACTGTAACACCGCCGTTCAGCGCTGCGCGTCACTGATACGCCTCAACGAACACCGTGCTCTGGCGACTGGCGACTTCAACCATGCGCGACCATGCGAGCTACATCAACCATGTCACCGAAACACTGGCGGGCGTACCGCCAACTGTGACAAAGACATAATTCGGCACTAAACATTTGTGTGCGTGTGCGTAAGTGGTTACTTTCGCCCAAGAGGAAGCTAAGTAAGCGTTTTGTTGTTGCTGCATGCTTACCTGTCTTCCATTCTGTCGAAGGAGCGCGGTGATGGCTGATGCTGAGTGGTCCCATGGATCATGTAGGTAGTCTTGAAGACACTAGGAAATTGGTCAAGAAAACAGTGGCTGGGATACTAGTGTCATGATTGGTTTTGTTTACCTTACTACCCGTGCTCTTGCTGTTGTGAGATAGCGTGTTTGTGAGTTGTGATTGGTTGCTCACAAAACTTAAGTTCTTCACATGAGAGAGCGGGTTTGTTCTTGTTTCTGTTCCTTACCTAGTAATTTGCTTTTTGTGTTACGGTTTTTATTGGGTTTCGATAAATCTAATAGTTTTATCGGAAACAGTTTGTGACGTTTCTCCATGTCATGGATCCGGTGCTGCCCTCGGCTTTTCATGTCAAATTGTGCTGCTTAGTGTTCACACGCTTGGTAGTTGTAAGCGCGCCGAGGGCTGTTGTGGCGTTTTCCAGATGGATTTTATGTGACGGTACTGGTATGAAGGACTAGTCAGTCTTATCTAATTTATAAAATGCGTCGTTCTGATCGTATTCAAAAAACAACGAAGTTACGGGAAATGTGCGTTTTTCAGTATTACGTTTACTAAGAATTGGATGAATGCGTTCTACTGTAATTTTGTAGTGATATGCACTTGCCGTTTGCCGATATTATCTTCAAGACATCTGTTGTCAAAAACCTAAGTTTGTCCCACGTTTGAACTGAGAAGTGTGGCTAGGTATGCAGAAGAAAAGAATGATAGCCCTGTTTGAGCGCATCTATTAGACCCTTTCGTAATGCCGACCCCCATCGCGAATGCTGCATCTCGCGCGGTGTTGCTGCAAATACACTGCATTTACGTGACAAAAGTGTGGGCTTTGGTATTCAATGGAACGAGCTGTGAACAGGAAGGAGAAGCTTGGGAGCACTGGCCATCCTACTTGCATCCCTTCACCCGTGACATGATGCAGAGCATCAGCCAGGGCATTGGGAATTTTAACCGGGGGGGGGGGCACAGGCATGGGTCGCGTCATACTCATATCTAGACCTTCGAAGCCATCTGTAGTAGCTTTGAAGTCTAGCTCAACTTTGTCGCCTCCCTAACGTTTCTTTGTTGGCTTGGCTATTGGGTACTCAAAGGTCATCGAGCATGCTGCCGGTCGAATCAATGGTTTTATATTTCACCTCTGGTCTCGCCGCACGTTCTCATAGAGGATAGCAGATGGATAACAACAGGCGGCGACTACTCGGACTCGCGAGTTACGCTGCGACATCTGTTACATTGTCATGTGTGACTACTAGCTCCACCTGCGAAACCTAACAGCAAAGGGCGCATGGATGGTGCGATACGCACTTACGCCCATAACGGTGACCAAAGATTACCCAAGCTTTATTGCGCTAATATAAATGACATTGACACCTATAAATATGCTAAGGACACTGGCGTAAGCACCAAAACCCTCACCTAAATAGCATGTTACGCTGTGACATAGGAAACATCTCACATCCACTGTTGGCTTGCTCGAAGTGCCGTATAGCGTATATCTGCACATATGTTATGGTTTATAGACATGGGCGCTTGATGAGGCTCGCTCTTATTGTTGCAGCTGACGAGTATGCACTGCGCACTGTGCCGCCATCCTGCTGTGAGTGAGGGCATGTTCGGTACGAGAGCAAAGCTAACACTTCACTCGCAGTCTGTGAGTTCGTGAGTCGTTGTAACACACTCAAGACGATGTGGGTCTTCTGGTAGTTCCCTCAGGAGCACAAGAGTCCTTGAGTTGCAAGAGCTCCCACGGCAGTCTCATAATGAATTTTTCGCTTTGCGGCCCAATCACGGAATCTGAGTCTCGTCCTATTCTTCCTACGGGGCATCATCACATATCGTCCCCACAATCAGCACTGCACAATCAGCACAGTCCAAGTCAGCGACGACACAGCACAGCCCAAATACGGCATCATGGCACGCACCAGTCCTAAAAACGCGTCAGGCTGGCCGAGGGCTATCACATTGCGTCACACGATCGCACTCATACGCTCAGTATTTCGTTCTACACGACAGCACGGCACTGGTAGTTCTGGATGGACGGTAGAGTACACTGGAGTCTGGATCCAGACAGGCACACTACCCGAGGTAGCTGAGGAGGATGATGACCAATATGACGATTATGACCGCCACCAGAATTCCACATACGATCCGCATCTTCCGGCCTCGCTGCTGCTTTTTCAGCGCTCCGTGAAGCTGCTCGGCACCTTTTTCTGCTTTCGCAGCCGTCTGGAACGTCTGTGGAAATAACGAGCTTTAGTTAGCCATTTAACTACGAAATATGTATACGCAGTACGCTCACATAAATATCATGCCACGACCAGTGTAGGTATATGACCTATACATGTATAGCCATTACATAATGCATTACATCATGAGAGCTGCTGACAACAAATGAACTATCAACTTTAGGTACGTCATGTTCGACTTTCGAGGCAAACAAAGTTAAGTAATAAGTTGTTCCGTACAAATTGGTCACGAGTTTCCCGTTCTTATTAAAATGTCGGCTGTGCTGTGAACTCTTGACTTTTTATTCTGATTTATCTCCCAACGCGTGTTTTGTCTGTCAACCGTTCTCCTCGTCGCTTCCGGCCGGCCGGCCCTCGGCGGCCCGAGCCATGTGAGGCCATGTGTGGGCCACTTGTCACCGTCCTGGGCCGACGGCCGCGTCCAAACCCGAGCAGTTGTTCAACGAGTGTCGCCAGGGAGAGGACCCGACAATCCTCTTCCTGGCACGACTGAATATAACCCCGGCCGACAGCGAGCGTGTCGATTGAGTGAACCGCGAGCCGCGATATCGAACCGAACAGCAACATGGTCCTCCGGGCCGGATCAAAGGTGACTAGTTATCCGGTGATACTCTTCTACTTTTATCCGGTAAACAGTGACAGTGTGAGAGCGTGAGTAAATGGTGAATAGAAACGATTGAGTCTGAACTGAGTGACGATGAGCGAAAGATCGTTCAGAACAGCGAGCGAGACATCAGTGTCCAGCGAGGCCCGACGCAAAGCGGCGCTCGCCCAGCTACACCTGTCACAGGCGCGCCGCACACGCGACTTGGAACGCCGACGACTGGAGCTGGAGCGCCGACAGCTGGAGCTCGAGCTGGAACAGCTGGAGCTGGCAGCAGATCAGAGACTGCAGGCAGTAGCCGATGAAGCCGAGGAATTGGAGTTGCTTGCACGCCTGATTGAAGAAGAAGATAACGATGCAGTTGTCCCAGGAAATGTACCGGACGAAAACGAAACGGAAATGGAAGAGAAGATTGCACCTGACCCACCTCTTGAATGTCGTTCGAGGGACAACGACGACGCCTACAAACGACCCACCTACAACGGGGATTGCCCCACAGAATGCACGCTGAGCGACAGATATCAACAGCAGGTCGAACGACCAAACTCTCGCGTCACCTGGATCGACGCGCTCGAAATCAGTGGCAGTGGAAGTAATTGCGCGACAGAAAGAAGAGGAAAAGTTGGTGTGAGCTCGTGCCCCCTGCCGCCACTGACGCTAGAGAAATTCGACGGCGATCCTCCGCACTGGCCGAGATGGATAGCGCTTTTCAAAGCGCTTGTGCACGACCGCACCGAGCTATCCGACGCCGAGAGACTCGCTCATCTGCAATCGTCTTTGACTGGACAAGCGAAACTGGCCGCCGGTGGTCTTCTATATGACGGCAGGTTTTACAAAGAAGCGCTGCAAGAGCTGCAGTGTCAGTTCGGCGACCGAGCCACAGTGGTCCAAGAAAGCCTGAACAGCGTGTTACGGCTGCCCAGCGTGCGGGAGTACGACACATCCGGTCTGACTGAGCTCTCGAGAATCCTACACTCGACCGTCAGCGTGCTCAGCTCGCTGCACTACGACGCCGACCTGGCTGCATCAACGAACGTGACGGCAGTCGTATCGAAACTCCCGACATCTCTCGCCTGGAAATGGGGAGAGCATCTCCAGACTACCCAGAATCAAGATCCGACTCTGAACGACCTAAACAAATGGCTCCGGTCGCAAGTGTTAGCGGCACGTGCCGTCCCCACTGAGTCGACCGTCCAGACCAGGGAAGCGAGGGAAACGACACGCCCAAACGAGAGCCATAAAGTCATTCGACGGGACCGGGCGGCCGGCGTGTTGGTGACGGCCACGTCCTACTCTGCCAACAAGGTCGAGGACGAACGGTGCGGCGTCTGCGGAGGGGAGCACCGGCCTGAAATCTGCGAGCGATTGACTAATATGTCCGTGGATGAGCGTGCGGTGGCCCTGATGAGGCGGGCGATGTGTTTCCGCTGCCTCGAGCCCGGCCACCGTGCCCGAGAATGTGCCTCGACTCGAAGGTGCTCCGATTGTGCTAGCCGTAGACACCACCGATTACTGCACGACATGAGAGAAATCGACCATTACGTGGGTCAAAGAGTCAACGCACGACCTGATCTGAAGAAATATTGAAAGTCGATACTCAACGCCCCTACCAGTCACCAGAACTGACAGTGCGGCTGAAGCCTCGTCGATTGCGCCTTGTTTGGGCTTGTGTAATGTATTGAGCCTTCAAGTACTCTTGATTTGATTGTCGTCAGTCGTGTCCTGTTTTTACTCGATAGATACCTACCGAAAGTGTGCTTTAGACGTTGCTTGGGCCTGAATGATTGTGTGGTTCGCAAGCGTTTCGACAGTCAGCTTGTATGACTCGAATTTGTACGTTGTTCTGTTTTAGAATTAATCCAAGAACCGTGGATAAATTATGGTGCGGCTATGTTCCGTACAAATTGGTCACGAGTTTCCCGTTCTTATTAAAATGTCGGCTGTGCAGTGAACTCTTGACTTTTTATTCTGATTTATCTCCCAACGCGTGTTTTGTCTGTCAACCGTTCTCCTCGTCGCTTCCGGCCGGCCGGCCCTCGGCGGCCCGAGCCATGTGAGGCCATGTGTGGGCCACTTGTCACCGTCCTGGGCCGACGGCCGCGTCCAAACCCGAGCAGTTGTTCAACGAGTGTCGCCAGGGAGAGGACCCGACAATCCTCTTCCTGGCACGACTGAATATAACCCCAGCCGACAGCGAGCGTGTCGATTGAGTGAACCGCGAGCCGCGATATCGAACCGAACAGCAACATAAGTTATTACCACAAAAAAGTAGAGCGACGCGACTCATAACCCATACTATGTTTAGGTACATTTGAAGAAAAATAGCGTATCATTCACTTTGACTACATCCGTTGAACTTTGACTTAACCCTATTCCTGGCGGGGGGGGGGGGCCTCAGGAGCCCCCCCCCCTGAGGTTTTTTGGTTATATCTCCCAAACGCGTTGAGCTAGGAAGCTCAAATTTTCTGACTTTTCCTAAAAGGCTTCTACGCAACATGTCTGAAAATTTTGAGTTGATCTGACCTCAGGTCAGGTCACCAGAGGCGGTTTGGTGACGCTACCTCAGAAAAGTTTGCAATCACGCCAGAGCTAGAGTTTTTGACCGATCAATTTCTTCTCTTCAGGGTTTAGTTAGGGTACCAGTATGTGCAATTTGTATATCTCGGAATTTTGATATCGGTGACCTAAGGTCAGGTCAATTTCGCGACCTCCCCATTATAAGTCAATGGGGGAAAAATCAACTCCCTGTTTTTACCACTAAAACGGGTCGGAATGGCCCCATATACCATACATGACTTCATATACGATCAACCTTCACTACCTTGAGGTCTGTTTTGCTGTTGGGCAGCTGTGAGGTCATGTGACGTCATCAAAGGTCACCAAAGGTTTTTGGCCAATAACTCCGTACAGGAACAAGATACAGACGCGTGGATGGTCTCATTGTGTTCAGCTCGTCAAGACGCATCGAATGATATACATGATGACCTCGAGGTCACGTGACCTGAGGTCAACCTTTGACCTTGACCTTTCGAGGTCAACATATATATCATTCGATGCGGATTGACGAGAGGATCACGATGATGCCCTTAGTTTGTTCCTATCTTGACTAATTCGAAAGTTATTCGAGAAAAACTCTCTCCATATCTAGTGCCGCCATTTTGACTTTTTCGACCCCTGTGACGTCATCTTTGACCTGACCTGAAAATGACCTTATTAAAAATTGTAGATCTTGGCCGTGCGTATCCGATGCCGTTTACCGCTTGTCGCTATCTTGCTTCGTTCTCGAGATCTCAGGGGGGGCCGAATCGGCCCCCCCCCCCGCCAGTTTCTTGTCCCGGCGGAGCCCGCCAGGAATAGGGTTAAGTTCACGCTGCTGCGCAAAATTCGGGTAAGCGGTTAATTCGGGAAGCGGTTTTATAACTTTTAGGACAAGGGAAACGGGAAAAATCGAGAACACAGCTCTAGTCGCGAGTAACTAAAAGAAATTTTGAGACAGCGACACAGTTCAACTGTCGTCATTACAGCACGTTTGATGCGTCTGAAGCGATATTGCCCTACAATACTCAGTAACTGTTCTTATTGCTTTTCGTCCATAAATGGCAGTAGCAAAACGCCTGGTGAGTGATACACTGTCGCAATAATGACATATTCGCGTTGCGCCCCTAGATGGCAGTAGCAGAACGCCTGGAGTAATACTGTCCCGCAATGAACTATACCTGCACCTTTCGCCCCTAGATGGCAGTAGCAGAGCGCCTGCAGATATACTGTGCCGCAATGAACTATACCTGCACCATTCGCCCCTAGATGGCAGTAGCAGGACGCCTGCAGATATACTGTGCCGCAATACCTATCCTTTTATAGTGAGACGCAAGGCCCTATATACCAAGGTGAGACGCGCTGGTTAAAACTGAAACTGATCGTAACCTGCAAATACATATTTCACAAAGGAATGCACACTCAAAAAATGGCATGCAAACAGCAAACCTTCATGAATAGAGTCAGAAATAGTCAATCAGTCGCTAAATAGGTTATCAGTGCAGAGAAGAAAAAAAATAACCATCTGTGGACCGTGTTCTCACATTTTCCTCGATGCGGTCGACCATCTCGCCCTGCTGCTGCACCAGCAGCGATAGCTGGAGGAACATCTCGTGCAGCTGCTGAATGGACATCTCCAGTGCGCGGATCTGCTCGTACCGCTCCTCGGCTTCGTTCAGCTCTGCACGCGCTGTCTCCACGCGCATCAGAATACCTGCAGGGGGAGGCAGGGTGGTGGAAAATGATAAGCCATGATAGAGTAAGAGCTACGAGTACATCATTATTCTGCAGTCTGCTTGCCTACCTTCCGGAACGAATGTGAATTTGGAAATGTAATCTACGAAACATCAAAAATAGTGCTAAGAAATGCCTACAGTTCAAAACTATACTTGGGACGTCATTTTTCTGACCACAAATCACATGGCCTGCATCTAAAAATACAAAGTAGGACAGTTGTCTCGGATCTCATACCATATATTTTTACGCTATAATAGTTGGGAACGATTCGTAAGAATCAGGGAGTCGATCTTAAACTGTATCTACATAAAGTCAATGCAACTGGCACCTTTTGCGCAAAGTAAATGTGTTATATGATGTGACTGTATAAGTCTACATGGCCTTCAATGCAGTGGACGAGTAATGGCCCTCAATGCAGTGGACGGCGGCCTTAGCCCTAGAACGCCTAGGGGGGGGTGTATCAACCCCCCCCCCTGAGGTTTTTTCGAAGTGCACGCTAAACGGCTTGTCGTAGCGGGCTGAAATTTTCAATACCCTCTGGGGCAACCTTTGCGCATCTTTTGCCGAAAAAAATTAATTGATCGGGTCATGTCAGGTCACGGAGTTATGACGTCATAAGAGGTACAGCCTCCGGCCGACAGTTACCAAACGTGTGCGCCGAATCCCTAGGTTTTCTGCCGGTGATACCCACATTGTTTGATGGATCATGATGAAACTTCCCATGCATGTTGGGGCAAGCATTGGCTATCGTGTGGTGCAAGAAAATTGACCGGGTCAGGTCAGGTCCCGGAGGTATGACGTCACAAGAGGAACAGCGTCCGGTACTATTTTTGAAAAGCGCCCGAACCACTATTTTGCTAATTCTTGTCACCTCAATGGGAATATGCAGCAATATTAGCTTCTATAGGGAGCAAATGGACCTCCCAAATCCAAAAATACAATCAGATTTCAAAAATTTAAATTTTGATTTTTCGAATTTCTGCCGCCGACTGTGACCTTGCCGACTTCCGGCGCTCCCAACGCGCCATTTTTAGAGCTAGGGAAACGAAATACATACCAAACGATAGAGAATTAATCAAGGAACACGATAGTGAAGGTTTCAAGTCGATATCTCCCACCGTTTTGCCGCAATCGCCGCGGAAAGTTGAAAAAGTTTGATTTTTTCGGAAAATTTGACCTTTGACCGGTCATAAGTAGGTCAAATGTTGACCTAGGACCAAAAAAAATATACCACCAATCGCGAGATCTCGTTGAGAGCAATCCGTTGGTTTTTTCCGCTAAGCTCTACGACCTTCCGTTTCGAAACGCCAGGGGGGGTCGTAACAACCCCCCCCCCCCTGGTCGTTCGTGTTATGAGAAATGGCCTGGTCGTGCGAGGGTTAAAAGTCAGTCGTACTTTCGTTGAAGATCTGGGCGTCGCCTCTGTCTATCAAGTTCTCCAGTTCGTCGTCGTCCATGTCGGCGCCAGTGATCTGTAGTTGCCGCTTCAGGTGATCCTTTTTCCTGGTAGCGCAAAAAGCAAAAGGGATGTGGAGTGACGACTGAGACGTCATAGAAGGTAACGGGACTGAGATAGCAGCTTATACAGGGGCGGCGTAACAGGTAACAGAGACGGGGTGACATGTCACAAAAAAATGATTCGCAAGTCGAAGAATGTATATTACTTTGTTTTTCGTCATCTCTATTAATTATGAGCAAAGGCTCACTATCATCATTCATTATCATGCCATCATTATCATCATTCTCACACCATAAGTATATTAACAATGCTCATCACAGCCATCAATCATATACCTATATGTTATCACTCAATGAGAGCCAAATAGAGCAAACGCGTGTCTCGGCGTGCATACTTTGCCCTGAAGTTCATCTCTTCCTCGTTGAAGCGTTGGACGACAGTGAGCAGCTGGGTGCGAAAGCCGTTCACCTGATTCTGCAGCATCTTGGCCTGGGTCGTCGTCAGCTCAGGCAGGGACTCCGTCAGCTGGTGGAAGGACCGGTGACGTCATTAGTCTACGTCGTATGCAGGATTGTTTACATGTCGCTGTTTACAGCAGTCGGATGTAAGTTTGCTTTGACTGACAGGCATTGTCAGCGCACTTGGATACTACATGTTCAGTGGTTTAGAGAAGCGTGCAAAACGGGATCTTCCTGATTTTTGCATCTCATGAGGGATTGGTTTGCGAATCAGTTTTTCTCGCTCCGTCTAATGCTGCTGGAAGCAAGGGTTTATGCCGATTGCCGGGCCATCTATTAACCCTATTAGTGGCAGGGGGGGGGTTGTTTTTATCCACCCCTCAGGTTTTTCGGGAATATCTCCGAAACCGCTGAAGCTACGATGCTGAAATTTTCTGACTTTTCCTAAAACTAAATTGGGCACATTCCCTGAAAATTTCAAGTTCATAACTTTACCAGGGGCGGCTCCAGACCACTGGGAATTGGGGGGTCCTATTCGTGAAGCGAGTCATTTGGGCAAAGATCACGATGCTGCACCAGTTTTACGAACAGTGAATGAAATGTATCATGTGATAACATATACAAAGTTATTGTGCATCCTCTTTTGACACGTTTTTGCTATAATAGGCGGATCCAGGCGTCCAAAAAGGGGGGTCATTTTTTACCTCCCAACATAGGTGCCCTGACGGCTGACACCGCCTATGCATGACCAATACAATTTTAGTCGTTCTCTCATAAGAAAATTGTAACATAACAAGACCATTGCCACCCTTTTTAGAAACAGTACCAACAAAAACCTTATTTGCTATACTTTTTGTGTACCCCCAATCTCAATGATCTGTATCCGCCTATGATTTTTGAAAATGCATATTTTTAGGATCCATGTGAGTTCCTGGTTTATTCTCTATCGATCGGCAAAAGTTGCGTTAAGATTGGTTCAGAAACCTGGCCGTGATAAACAGTCTAAAATGTATCTGTAATTTGCCCGTTTTTACCCCCTCTATTGACATTTTTTAATTTTTTTTTTAGAAATGTAGATCTCGTTGAGCCAAATCGAATGCCGTTTGAATTTTGAAAATCGGCCAGTTAGATCTCGAGATATCAAGGGGGGGTCGTAAACAGCCCCCCCCCCCCTGCCACTAATATGGGGTAGCCAGGAGCCTGCCACTAATAGGGTTAACCCTATTAGTGGCAGGGGGGGGGGGTTGTTTTTATCCACCCCTCAGGTTTTTCGGGAATATCTCCGAAACCGCTGAAGCTACGATGCTGAAATTTTCTGACTTTTCCTAAAACTAAATTGGGCACATTCCCTGAAAATTTCAAGTTCATAACTTTACCAGGGGCGGCTCCAGAGCACTGGGAATTGGGGGGTCCTATTCGTGAAGCGAGTCATTTGGGCGAAGATCACGATGCTGCACCAGTTTTACGAACAGTGAATGAAAGGTATCATGTGATAACATATACAGTTATTGTGCATCCTCTTTTGACACGTTTTTGCTATAATAGGCGGATCCAGGCGTCCAAAAAGGGGGGTTATGTTTTACCTCCCAACATAGGTGCCCTGACACCGCCTATGCATGACCAATACAATTGTAGTCGTTCTCTCATAAGAAAATTGTAACATAACAAGACCATTACCACCATTTTTAGAAACAGTACCAACAAAAACCTTATTTACTATACTTTTTGTGTACCCCCAATCTCAATGATCTGTATCCGCCTATGATTTTTGAAAATGCATATTTTTGGGATCCATGTGAATTCCTGGTTCATTCTCTATCGATCGGCAAAAGTTGCGTTAAGATTGGTTCAGAAACCTGGCCGTGATAAACAGTCTAAAATGTATCTGCAATTTGCCCGTTTTTACCCCCCTCTACCCCCCCTATTGACATTTTTTAATTTTTATTTTTTAGAAATGTAGATCACGTTGAGCGAAATCGAACGCCGTTTGAATTTTGAAAATCGGCCCGTTAGATCTCGAGATATCAAGGGGGGGTCGTAAACAGCCCCCCCTGCCACTAATAGGGGGTAGCCAGGAGCCTGCCACTAATAGGGTTAAGGAACTACGGCCTACTCGAGTCACATAAGACATCCCTATTCTTTTGACGGGTGCTAAGAACGTTACTGAGCATTTCCCTCCTCGATTCCATTTCCCTGTTGCCCCGCAGTCATTCAAAGTGGTCAGTCTCATGCGAGCGGTGTCCGATTCGAACGATCACGAAATCTTATCTGTATCTCAGTACAACTGCTTGTGTTTGAAGTGGCATTCCACCCGTATCATATTTGCACTGCACTGTTGAGCGCTCTGGCAAATTCCTCATAATTTTACGATATTACATGCCATGGATGGCCCACGTGGAAGTCAAGGCCAGGCATCCACGGCCTGGCAGATAAGGTAGCGACCGAAACAGCCAACCAAGCATGCCTCCATTCATCTCACGACTCACGACCCACGAAAAAGCGACGTCCTATCTCACCTTCTTCTGGAGTCTGTCCAGCTTGGTCTTGATCCTGCTGATGTTGGCGAGGGCGGCGGCGGCGCTGTCCTGGGTCTGCTGCCACGCCTGCTCCTGGTGCCTCGGGGAGTTGAGCTGACGACACTGCTGCCGGCTGACCTCGTCCACAGCGGCACGCGTCTCGGCCAGCGCGGCGCTCAGCTCGGCCAGCTCCTGCTGCAGCTGCTGCACCAGCGGCTGCTCCTGCTGACCGGCAGCTGCCGCAGCTGTCCCCGCAGCTGCCGCGGCCGGGGCACGGCGGAGGAAGCGCGCCAGCCGGGAGGGACGCGAGACGACCACCACCGGCTGGCCGGCCTCCGGGTCAGAGGAGCTCGCAGGAGCTGCCGGAGGTGCGGGAGCCGCCGGAGCCGCCGGAGCCGCCGGGACAGGCGCTGGGGTGATGGTTGGAGCATTTCCGGCTCGCTGTTGAAGCTCTAGAAGACGATCTCGAGCCATCGTGACTGATGTCCTGTCAGACTCGGGAAGCAAGGGGCCCAGAAGAGGTCACTTGAACTTGAAGAGGTCCTTTGAAGCGGTATTTCGAAGCAGTTTTGAACTGGACGCTTGAATAAGTCGTTTGAAGAGGTCGCTTGAAGAGGTCGCTTGGAAAGGTCACTTGAAGAGGTCGCTTGGAAAGGTCACTTTAAGATGTCACTTGAATAGGCCCCTCGAAGATATCATTACTATCGAGAGCGTGTCACCAACAGTGTAGTCAAACCTGACCGGACCCAGCCAGTCAGACCTGATCACAAGGTAAGGTCACGCTACGCGGTCAGACACAAGGTCACTTCACGAAGTTGAAGTGACGATATTGTCTCAGGTTGCGACACTAAAGCTGCGTTTTAGTGCCCATTGCAGGACCACTTGATTGATGGATATGTCTAAGAGACCAGCTGCGAGACCGCTGTTTATCAGCTAACCTTGCAGCACCATGTGGCACGGCGCCGTTTGGCGGCTCTCTCTATCGTCTGGATAAAAATAGGCCCCGCCCATCCCAATCAGCTGCTGCATGACGAGTTGATGACGACAACCACTACTTACCAGCAACCAATCTAGGGATAGCGTACGTGACAGTAATGGTGCAGCGGTTGCAAAATATTGCATTGTTATTCAAACGGTTTTTGCTTTTTGATTGTGATTGTATTGAGATATGTGATTAGATGAGGTGTTGTTGAAGGCAGGTATTTTTTAAAATATTTTTTGACAATTTTTTGCCCCCTTGTGCTGAACCCGGGACCACCTGAAGTCTAAACCTCATTTTATATAACATGTCAATGCTGATGCTGTCCAGCTCAGAGTTTTTTTTTTGGGGGGGGGGGCAAACCAAAACAATTTATCGATTCTTTCCATGCATCGTCCATAGGCGTAATGTTAAAATTATGCCGTTTGGGGGGGGCAAATGCCTATTTTGCCCCCCCTGGATCCGCCACTGACTGCTCCGATCCTGGTCATGCAACCAACGTTCATGGGTGGTGTTTCACGGCAGAGCACTGCAGTGCGCTGCGTGTGTCAGAGCATTGGGTTGCCATGGCAGTGTCAACAAAGTTCACTGTGACGCTAAGCTATATGACAGCATCCCAGAACGCTAGCACGCTGCGGTACCAGCACCAGCAGCATGCTAGCAGTATTTGAACTCAAACCTCTGTTCTTGGTACGGTTTTTCAGAACATCTCACTCTGTTCCAAACGCGATTCATCATAAACTAAGAGATCACATGCAACGTCATTTGAGTGATGCTATGGTATGCCGTAGCTACCAGTGCACACAGTGTCTGGATGGTGAAACAGGGCCATTATTAATCACATTTGCTTTGCTTTGTTTCAGCAGAAACCTGTCTGCACATGGGAGGAGCGCAACAAAAGCCCATCAAGTTCATGCATGGCAGTGGATCTCAACAGCAGAAAACCAGAAAGAACATGGATGCTTGTAGATTGCAGTTGTACACTGCTGTTATCACGTGATGTGTGTGGCTGGCATTGCTCCTGGCAAGAACCACCTGCAAGTGATGAGATGGTGCCTCAGTCGTTGAGTGTGCTGCAGTGTGAGAGGCGCCCTGATCTCTACTTTGTGATGGGTTTCCATTGGAAGTTCAACTGAGAAGTGAGAAGTGACTGTGACCATGCTCGAGCATGCCAGTGGAGCTTTACATGCTTAGGGCAGCTTTTGAACAGATGCTGACCATGGCATGTCCCATCCAGTTATCACGTGCATAGAATGGTGGGGGGAGGGCAACTCTGGTTGAGTCAGCCCTACTGCGCTGGGGGTACAGATGGCCGCTTACGTTTGGTGTGTCCTGCACTGCATTATCAAGCCCAGTCTGCTGCCACAGGCAATGGATCGGGCTGCACTATATTAAAGGCAGACTATCTTGCAAAGGAGGCTGGCATCCTCTCCCATAATGACACACCAATTGGCAATCATCGCTGCGATGATCACGAGGGTGTCCGCTTATCTAACATGGTGAGGTGGAGAGCCAGCTCAAGCTGGCCTGAGGGATGGTTTTACTTCATCTGAGGCCCCCTTTCCCCGCCTGCCAGGTCCGGTCAAACGACCGCTTCACAGTGAACGACTTGCAGTGGATGCCGTCCCACAGCGCAACGAGCGCGCCGACCAGAGGCGGCGGCCAAGAGGCGGCCGCGCTCCCCCAGTCGACGGTCCCGGTGGACGTCGGCAACGCCCACCGCGCGACCATCAGATCGGCTCGCGACCGCGCCGTCGCCGACTGACCGCATGACTGGTATCTGTTCTTGATGTGGGACCGACTGCCACCGCCGGTCGCGGAAGGGCATCGCTCATCGGCCATCGACGTTCACCAGCTTCGCGTGGGTCACTGTTCGGGCTGCCACCAATACACCGAATCGGATGGAACCCTGTCGGCGAATGCCGGCGGTGCCCCGACATCGACTGCGCGGCGGCCAGTGCATCGCGTGCCGGGAGGAGGCTGGCACCCCCGATCGGTCATTGGTCACAAACCGTGTCCCAGCTCATGACTGCATCCAGCGCAGCTCTGTGCGATGTTCTGCTGCAGTCTGCCGCGTGTGTTGAAAGAAGAATGAACACGAGAAAACCTCAAAACTTTATGCCTATTAGTATTTGACCAGTATTGGAATAAGTTTGGATTTTGAGAATTTGTGTCCCTGTGCTTGTGCCTGTGTGAAAAGGCATGCTTTACGGTGTACCATCTCAATTTGTGCGGCTGCTGACAAGCCACCTGGGTGCCAACGTATGTGCGAATCCGCGAATACGTTGTGTTTCGTCAGTCGGTATCGTTCTGAAAATATTGACTGCAATAGGCTATATAGCGTATGACGGTTCAGCCCAGCAGTAATAACTGACCATTGATTGGGCGAATTTTGTGTGGTGGTTCGCTAATACATAACCTAAAGAGTGTTTTGCCGGAATTGTTTAGTAGCAGAACTGACCGGAATATAAGTAGAATGCAACGGTTTGAATCGTTAATTTGTTGAAACGATTGTTCTCTGAGACCACTGTGTAACTTTTGACCTGAGAATCACCAATTATAACGACAATGGTGGAAGCAGTAGGCACTGTAGAGTGTAGGCAGCACTATATAGTTGGCACACTTACGCAAGCACACGACTTACGCAGTGGACATCTGCATCATGCATGTTAAGGTTTACTGGGAAGAGTGAGAAATTAGTCAAGGCGATATTTCCAATTGAGCTGGGGCGGAGAGGGGGAGGGGACGTATGGTCAGCTATGCCAATAATTCATTCTCGTTATGCAGCTGTGTAAAAGGGCGTCGTTTTTTTCTTGGGTGAGACCTTCCCCATTGGCCATTTCCAAGCTAAATCGTGGTGGAGAGTCTGGAGACCTCAGCCTCGGTAGTCGGTACCCTGCGCGCTGCGCCACCTTGCGAAACATAAAGCAGCAGTCCTGACATCTACAGGCGTTACTTTTCATGAAAGCGTGGATGTGTTCGCGCTTATGCGAAGAAAATTCTTCCGAGTATGGTTGATAATGAGATTAATTGTTGTCATTTATTTATTAATTCATTGGCAAAAGTACCCTAATAAATCGGTAAAGTAGCTTAAACTGTATCGTATTTCCTTGAGAAAAAATGACGAACTCATCCTAAGACATCCAGATTATTGGATGCGTTCGTCAGTTGTAAGTAGTTCAAGTTTTTGGAAAAAGTTGCTTGTGGAAAATCATAATATTTCAAAGATATGCCTATTTTCGAATAGTTTATGCATTTATCTGCATTGAAAAATGATTGTAAAGCAAAAGTGCAAACGATTGTTGTCAATTTATTCTCTCAAATCACTATTTACGAACGCACAAAACTCCAGCTTTTAATTTAGTGCGTGTGCGAATTGCGGTCAGGAAAAAAGATTTAAACTGTCTATATTCCTCTTAAAACAATGAAGGATGAATGAGAAAAACGCTGTTTTGAACAATTGTATGTTTATTTTTTCTCAATTAAGCAAAAAACCAAAATTTTCAACTATTATTACATTTGCTCTCACAAAACCCATCACTTTTAAGCATGACGTCATGTCAGCCAAACTTACTAGCGCCATCTCTGGAGAGCATCTTTCGAAACCTCCAGACGATAGAGAGAGCCCGTTTGGCGGCGTCTGATGTCTGTGGTCGACTCACTGGGATCCAGAGCGCCGCACCAGCCGGCGCCGCTGACCGAATCACTATCGAGTCACGCCGCAGTCACTACCAGACGCCGACAACGACTCCTGTGACACTGACACTACGATTGACACATACAGCTGACACCGACACCCGTGACTCTTCACTGCAATCCAGCGTGGCTTTAGCACACTGTCTTCACGGGTGTCCGCCCCTATCACCCCGCGTCCACCGCCCCGCGAGTGTGCACTGCGATAGGGCGCCGGCCGTCCCAGGGCCGTCCGCCCGCTCCACTGCCAGAGGCGGCTCCAGCGCCGCAAATTTGGGAGGCGGGCTCTTCGTTGTCCTCCCCGCACCCACCATAGGCAGATCGCCAGAACCGCGCAGAAGACAAACAGCGTCACAGCTGGCAAACACGTGTCGCTGCGACGCTAGGCGGCCGATCGATTCAGGGGCGGGGCGCCAGGTGCCGCGCCGCCGCCGCTCGTGCACCTGGCGGAGCCGGTGACGTCATACACTGCACACTGTGACGTCATCGGTGAGTCACGGCGCCGACGTGGGCGCCGACGACGCCACGGAATGGAATGTGTGATTGTGTGATGGGGATTGTCTACCGTTTTGCTGAGTCACGTGCACCACTCGTGTTGAATTTTCGGTGCCTAAAGAGAGAATAATTATTTGTGCATTGTAACTAGCCGGCATTTTTGAGACATTAGCTAAAACTACTAACAGGAAAGAGATAGGTATACAAAAAAATTATGCAATACGTTCAGCAAGATAACACTCGGTCGAAGACGGAAAAGGTTTCGGAAAGTCGGTATTGGACTAAAAAAGAAGTGGCAAATCGAATTACATGCACCATGACCTCCTTTGATCAGCTTCGTGACCTGAGCGACCATGACATGAGGTCAACACTATGCGTTGAACTCACCTAAACCAAAATTATGTCATCCGACGCGCCTGAGCGCAGGGAAATGATGGTGCCAAAATTGTGGTCATGTGACTATTTATGATGAAATTATTTAACAAAAAGCAAGTCCGTGCCTTGTGATATTTGAGCTGACCTCAGAGGTGACCGGCGGGTTGACCTGAGGACTTAGAAATATGAACCAGCCGCTGATCGTGTAACGGTGCACACACTTTTTCAGGTCTAGCTCAATTATAGGTGCAAAACGGTGAGGGAACCCTCATCCGGGGCGTATGTATGTAGAAATAATCGCAAAGCTTTCGCCCAATTCGGGAAGCCCTATAGTTATTCGTAACGGTAACGGTCGGGAAAGGTTGATGATATACCGGGTGGCCCAGAAAAAACGTTCCCAACTTTAAATCAATATTTCTCAGAAAGTGATAAAGATACAACATTGAAACTTCGAATAGTCAATGCGGCACACAATTTCAGTAAATGGTGTGATTTTCATGGTGTTCGGTAAATAACTTTTTAAACGGTTCGTGTTTCAAGCATGCCATGTAAATATTACTTTTTTGCTCCGATGTTTACTAAAAAATGTGAGTGAACGGGTCACTTTCACCCCGCGGCACCGCGGCCTAGAGCCATGACTTCTACTGGCAGCTAGTCTCATTGATGGTTCGGGTCTCAGGATGACACATTCCCTCAGACAACCACGATGGCTCTGTGCCAGCGGCATCGAAAGAAGTTTCCAGTTTTCTAACCATCTTTGTGGCTCAAACGCTTTCCTGGCTGACATTCCTGGGAAAAGGTAGCTGTTCAACCAGTTTTTTTTTTGTTTTTGTCATCTGCTGGCAATGTTGTTTTTCATAAGCTATTCTGTGGTCTTCTGGCACAGGAACCAGTCTGCTTTAGTTTGTTTTCCTTATCCGGTCGATTTACTGTTTGATCTACTGAAAGGAGGGTGTTACGAACAAAGCTTACATGTATTATCTATATTATAAATCCTAAAAAATCCGCCGTCGGGGTAACGCCCAAAAACGCTTATAGCGGCGCCGTCGATTGACGCAGGGGGGTGAAATTTTCACGGCTCGTGGGTCACGTCATTCAACATGTATTAAACTTTAGGCACGATGCGGCCAGGGGTGCGCCCGTGGCGCGTGCTCACGTGGTGTGCCATAGGGTTTACACTAGAATCGGCAACAGGCTATTGCTCGGGAACGGTAAGGGCTACGGGGCTGAAATTTTCGCTGTAAGTCGGACGCGTGCACTCAATTGTCGTATTAAATTTTCGAGGGTGTGGGTTCAGCGGTGTGCACGTGGTGCGGCCGCGACCGGCGCCGAGCAGAACGCACGTGCTTTAGGCTCAGTTGTTCGCTTCCAAAACAGTGAAAAGCATCAGAGCCGGCAGGTCATTGACCTTTGACAACGAAGGCCGACACAAGGCACCGCTCGCCAAGGGGATTCGCCAGTAAATACAATAAATTTGTTCTTGCAATATCTCAGCCGTTTCTGGGCCGATTTAGCTGAAACTTGGATTGTCGGTGGCAGTGTATGGTAGGGTAGGGTAGGGTAGGGTAGTGTAGGGGTAGGGGTAGGGTAGGGTAGGGTAGGGTAGGGAAGGGTAGGGTAGGTTAGGGTAGTGTAGGGTAGGGTAGGGTAGGGGATTGTAGGGTAGGATAGGGTAGGATAGGGTAGGGTAGGGGATTGTAGGGTAGCGTAGGGTAGGGTAGAGTAGGGTAGGGTAGAGATAGGGTAGAATAGTGTAGGGGTAGGGTAGGGTAGTGTAGGGGTAGGGTAGGGTAGGGTAGGGCATTGTAGGGTAGGGTATGGTAGGGTAGTGTAGGGGTAGGGTAGGGTAGGGTAGGGTAGGGTAGGGTAGGGTAGGGTAGGGTAGGGTAGTGTAAGGGTAGGGTAGGGTAGGGTAGGGTAGGGTAGGGGTAGGGGTAGGGGTAGGGTAGGGTAGGGGTAGGGTAGTGTAGGGTAGGGTAGGGTAGGGTAGGGGTAGGGTTAAGTTCAAAAAGTGCCTAACATACAAAACACTTGAACACTCCGCACCTATCACCAACCCTTACAGTTTAATTAAAAACAGCTGCCCAAATCTATCCAAATAATACATCTAAAAATGCAAGTCAATCACCCAAACAAATGCACCCGTAACATAACATAAATCAAAACATACAGTTATCGCGTAAACCTGTACCTCTAGTAGATAATAGGCAGGGGCGTCGCCGACGGGGGGGTCGGGGGGGGGGGTCGCGACCCCCCCACTCGTCAGAACCGGGGGGGTCGACCCCCCCACTTTTGGCGATGCTGAGTATGCTTTTTTTAGCTATCATGTCAGGGAAGTTGGTGTCAGCAACATCAACAAATACAACGTCAGATTCAGAATCGCTTCAAGAGCTCCCTAGTCCCTATTGCTTATAGGTCAATAAGCTGTGGGCTAGAACATCAGCATGACAATATGATTTTAGTCCCTTTTTATCCCTCAAATGAGCGAGCGCGTCAAAGACTCAAAACTGACCCAAGCGTTCGTCTGATTGCCAAAATAATGGTTGCAGTCGATTCGTCGGATGACGTATCACTTATCAGTAACTACGAGGTACCTGGCTAGCCTCAGCCCTGCTACCCTCGGACCTGCCTGCATAGGGGAAATGGGGTCAGATGGTGGATCCCTCTGGGGCTTTCCTAATAGGTAAGACGCGCAAAAAGGAGTATATTGCAACGAAACTTCCAGTGATCTCGAGTTAATGAATTTTACACCTATTCTAAAAAAATTGGCCCTGATTCGAATATGGATGACCTTGGTTAACTTTTTTGAGTTTTATTTGCTTCCACCTACAAGTGTGGTTTTTGGGGCTGATTTCGAGTTTAGCGTCCGTTTGAACCGTTTGAAGAAGTTTTGATAAATGATGGTTATGTAACATGTTACGAAGCTATCGTTGGTGGTTGTCAGTCACCCACTCTAGATGGCCGGCAGGAAGCCTGCTGGTCGACCTGACCTGACCCGACCCGATCTGTCCCAAATGCATGGAGTCATCATCTTTGTTCAAGACTAACATCGAACTCGTACTCGGGACCCCGATAACAGCTACGGCTCACTAAGTTCTAGCAGGCGGCCAGATTTTTCCTACTTTTGGGCGTTGACCTAAGATGACCCGGCCAAGACCTTGAAATTGGGCATCATCGGCTTTCTCTCATCACGGGCAGCATTTTCGCTCTTCCGCGAAACTCTACCTCGGTCAGGGGCCGAAAGCATGCCTTATGCGTTACGTTGGTAAACGTTTTACGTTAGCGACCCGCAAAATACGAATAAGAGCTACAGCAACACAGAAAGCGTATTCAATAGCTTTTTAAAGTTCTTTCGCCAACTTCGCCTCAGATATGACTTCGGGTCTATGGCTTGTGTACCATAGAGTCCAAACAGCTAAACGGACGGATTTTGCCGAAACATTTGTTCTGTAACAACCTATGATTCAGTGAATGTGTATGATATTCATGTTATCACCATCGTTTTTGTTTCGTCGAAACACGTCGCATGGCTTACAATTTGAACTTAAAAACTTGAATAGAAAACTTGACATCAGGTAAAGGTCATGACCTGACCGGAAAAGAACCTGCTGCATATGGATCGATCTGTGTTACTGAGCTGAACACACTCCAGGTGCTGTCATCGCTCTACAACGTCTCCATCAAAAGTTGTTGTCGAAAATGTGTTAGAGACCTTTGATGACCTAATGACTGACCATTTCAGTCACCACTGGCTATTAGCTGCACCTTATCTCTAAAATGAACAAGGTGCCATGGCTACAAAAGTAGGGGAAGCCGGGGGAAGCCCGGGCGCGGGGGAAGCCCGGCCACCCCGTTTCCGGCTAAATTATTCACAATAAAATGCTCAACTGTTTGTCCTTTCAGCGTGGCAGCTAAGGTAACGCTAGCAAAAAAGTTAAGGCTGACAAAAATTGCATATTGTTAAAGTTATAGCGCAAAAATGATATTTTAAGGGTTTTTAGCTAAAAAGTGAGATATCTTGCACTGTTAATGTTATACCATACAGTACTAATATTTATACGAATGTTATGTAAGGACCGTTTAAGTGTTTGTAGTGAGGGGTGACGAGGCAGGCTGGCTTTAGTATGACATTTTTTCGAATATCGCTGTTCTAAAATAAAAATTAGCACATTGGGGTAACCCCGGGCGAGTGGCCAAGCTTACCCCTAACCGAGAGCAATGCCACTAAACCACTGTTTTCCATGAGATAATAGGTACTGAGCAGGTTTGGTTTACACCAAGATCAAAGATAAATTTCGAAAATAAACATGTTATCATAGACAAAGCCAGTCATGTCACTGAAGGTCAACTAGGG